AAAAGAAAGAAAGAAAGAAAGAAAGAAAGAAAGAAAGAAAGAAAGAAAGAAAGAAAGAAAACCCCTGCTCCAGAGCCAGCCTGTCCAGGTTCAAGTCCCAGCTGCGCTACTTACCACATGGCTCTCGCCACACGGCCTTAGACAAGGGACAGAAGTGCTCTGTGCCTCGGTTTCACCACCCATAAAACAGGAACAGGCAAGGCCGCTGTGAGGACAGGTGAGCAGCTCACAAGGGAAGCGCCGGGTGGCTGTTTCTTGAGTCCTTGCCTTGTCTCAGGCTCCGCTCCACATGGCCATCGAGGCCCTGCCCCCAGAGGGCTGCGTTCTAGTGGGGGGAGGGCAGGCAGCAGGGAGTTGACCACGTACCCAAGGACAAGGAAACAGGATGACGCGGGGCAGACGAAGCTGAATTGTCTGACCTAACACTGACGTGACGGACGCCCACGGCCAAGCAGGCCGCCCAGGGCAGGCGTCTGGAGCACCAGTTGATGGGTCACCCACAACCCATTTCTGAGTGCCGGGTTCAACTCCCAGCTCCTCCACTTCCAACCCAGCTTCCTGCCAATGCACACCCTGGGAGGTGGCATGTGAGAGCCCAGGTGCTTGGGTCCCTGCCACCCACATGGGAGACCCGGATGGAGTTTGGCTCCCGGCTGTGGCCTGGCCCAGCCCCGGCTGTGATGGGCATTTGAGGAGTGAACCAGGACACGGAGTATCTCTCCAAGCTCTCTCATTCTGTGTCTCTCTAGAAATAAATAAGCCGTGTATGTGAGAGCCTCACTCGCCAGCACAGCCAGCATGCTGACCTGGGGGAGGCAGCCGGTGATGCTCTGGGGTTTTTACACAACCACAGTCAGGGGGCGGCCAGAGAAGCAGCCGCTTTGGGTGTAGAAGGGATCGCGGGAAACTGGGTCCAGGCTGGTGTTGAGGGCAATGTAACCAGACTGGGACGCAGAGGTGAGAGGAGAAGTAGCCAAGATGTATTGGAGGGCCGGCGCCGCGGCTCAGTAGGCTAATCCTCCGCCTAGCGGCGCCGGCACACCGGGTTCTAGTCCCGGTCGGGGCGCCGGATTCTGTCCCGGTTGCCCCTCTTCCAGGCCAGCCCTCTGCTGTGGCCAGGGAGTGCAGTGGAGGATGGCCCAGGTGCTTGGGCCCTGCACCCCATGGGAGACCAGGAAAAGCACCTGGCTCCTGGCTCCTGCCATCGGATCAGCGCGGTGCGCCGGCCGCAGCGCGCCGGCCGCGGCGGCCATTGGAGGGTGAACCAACGGCAAAGGAAGACCTTTCTCTCTGTCTCTCTCTCTCACTGTCCACTCTGCCTGTCAG